GCTGCGGATGCGTGTCAGCTCAACCCTCTCCTGGGACGTCTGAGCCTTCACTGCAGGGAACAGACAGGCTACCGTGCTCAGGTGCCGCTGGGACAGAGCCCTGAGGATGCACCGTTTCCCTGCAGCCAGGGTAGGTTGTTTTCAGAAATAGACTTGGATTCCTAAGGTTTAACCTCCAAACTCCCATATGTGTGTGTGTGTGTGTGTGTGTGTGCGCGTGTGTGTGTGTGTAGGACGTGGTGTTGCCATGCGTGCCCTCCAAAACAAACTCCCAGGACACCTGGGCTGGGAAACGCTCTCTCTCCCTCCCTGTTTGAGATTCATGAACACATTAGCTCATAAAATCCTCTAAACCACCCAGTGTCCTCAGGAAGAGGAGAGGGCTCCCCGTGGTCAGGCCAGAGCTCCCAAGGCTGCCTTTGAACGTGGGCCTCTCTGTATAGATTGACTAAGAGCTCTGGGAAGCTCTGATCCAGAGCACGTTTTTAAATCTTCATTATTAGTATGAGAGCTTCTTTCGATTCCCAATCCCCAGGCAGAGCCAGACACGGCATTGAAAAATGTCAGGCAGGTTTATTTTTGTCTTAATACAATCTCAAGTGGCAGACACAACTCATAGCAGCTGTTGCAAACACTAGACTTCACTGCCTCACATAACAAAAACGCCCAGGGTGACGGCTTCAGCCATGGCTTGATCCAGGGGCTCCTGTGACACTATCAGGGTTCTGTCTTCCCTGAACATCTCACACACCTGATCCCCTTTTCTTGCCTTGGGTCTCCTTTTGGGATCTGAGTCTCATGAACACCTGCTTCTTCTAGAAAGCTCAGCATTCTTCTTTCTCGGTCATTTAGGTGAAAAATCAGAGTCTCACTGCTCCGCCCAGTGTTCCGTGTCCACGCTGGGAGAGTCTCTGGCAAGGGCATCTGGTGATGCAGTTAGCTGGCGTGAGTCACAGAGCCATCCCAGCTCGGGGACCTGCCCCCCACCGCACAGAACGACGGAGGGGAAGGCGCTCCAAGGGGAATGCAGGTTCAGGTCCTGGGCGGGGTGGGTTGCATGCAGATCCAGCAGCACCAACACATGCCTTTCGTCGCGGATCCCCGCGTGCCCTTGCCTTCCTCCCCATGCCGCCTCCGGGCTGGGCCCCATCTTCCGTGCCTGTGGCACACCCGGTCCCTTCCCCCAACTGTCCTCACGGTGTGTGTGTGACACCTGTTCAGTGAGACCAGCTCTCAGGACACCTGCGTCTGCACCCGCGCCTGCTCCGTGTTCCCCGCCCCCAGCACACACTCCCGCGGCTCCGGGAGTTCCGCTGGCACTTCCGGGGCAGGAGAGTGACTGACTGAACGGAGCTGGACACGAGTGAAGGCGACTTTCTGCTCGGTGAGCGGTCACGGAGGCAGTGAACTAGGCCGCCCCGCGGGACATCCACATCGGGTGAGGCGAGGACTGTGCCCTGCGCCTGCCTGACCCCGGCCTGTGGGTGTGGCCCCTGGGGCTGTCCCAGGTCTAGAGGTGAACTCTCCCGGGGAACCCCAGGCTCGTGGCCGTCCTGATGCTCTGAAAGCACTGAAATAACAGAGGAACTGGTTTCTCTCCAGAATTCCTGGAGTCACATCCCATAACTCTGATGGCTGATGGCTGAGGGCCTTTTATCAGGCAGCGTCTGCCAGCGGCAGGCCAGAAACCCAGTGAGGAGTCCACAAGGCCGACTTCTAAGGTGGAGTTCCAGTAAGTTCTAGAACTCCTCCTCCAATGGCCTCTTCCTGGCTTCCTGTTGGGCTTGGCAGGTAGTTTGGTAGTTGTGATTGACTGTCTATGGAAAACCTCAGGTTATTTTTGGCACCTGATAGTTACTTCCAGAAACCATGGTGGTTTGGTTTGTTGTCCTACAGGCTCTGACCTCCGACCTGGTTGTGGGAAGTCAGGTTGCACAGCCTGGCTCCTGCCTTGTCATCATCACACCCTGTCCTGGGAGGACTCCTGAGTGGGCTGAGTACCTTGGGCCACCTCGGACCACCTTCCTTAGACCTGATCTGGTGTCACCGGTGGGGGGGTTGGCATGACGGACCCGGAGCAGGATCTTCACTCCCTGCTCAGCTCGGCCCCGGCACTGGCCCCAGGACTGCGCCGAATGGAGGGTGCGGCCCGCCGGCCCTCTGGTTCCTGCGCCTGGACGTGGCTGGGTGGGGGCAGCAGGGTCTCCAGACAGGCTCTCGAGCCCCATCGCCAGCGAGGCTGCCCCCGCAAGGCCTGTGCTGCAGGGCGATGAGCTAGTATCTCACCCAGAGAAACGGCTCGGGCACCAGCGTCCTGATGAGTCGACGCTGCGGAGTAGCTGCTCTGGACGGAGGATTTCAGGGTAAACCCCCGTGCCGGCTGCACATCCCAGGGCCGCTGGGAGGGGACCTTGGGGGTTCCCAGGTCACCATTGGCTGGGCCTGGCTGAGGCCTTTCCTCGCCCTCCTTTCCTGGTTACAGCTCAGTGCCCTGTCGTGGCGATCTGTGGCCCCCACGGCCTGGCCGCCGCCCTGGGAGGCCGAGCCACCATCTGGGGACGGGAGGGGACATGTGGGCTCTCGCACCCACAGCAGGCAGGCTGGGTGCACAGGGGACCCCCGCCCGGGCTGTGCTGGGGGCAGGGAAGGGGCCTGAGGTACAAGGGCACAGAGGGCCTTCTCGGGGCGTGGGCCTCGCTGGGGTGAAATTTTGTTGTGGGCGATCATTTCCATGTTACAGAATTTAAGATGAAATGTTTAAAATGCCAGCAACTTTTAAATTTCCATCACCCACATAATTAAAGTTACTTTAGATACTGTGTCTTCTCATCAGAAAGCAAAAGCAGTAAATATGTCAGCAGCAAATCGATAAGACAATTACTCTGTAATGAATCCCAAACACCGTGAATTAAACTGACGCGTGGCTACGGGCCTCCTGGGCCTTCTCAGCCTCCAGAGGCCGGTGAGGGCAGCACGGGGTGGGGGGGCAGGAGGGCCCCCCGGGTCAGGGAGCACGTCTGTCCCTCTTCCCTGGCGGGAGGAGGCAGCGCCGTCCTGCAAGGCTGCCTGTCCCCTCCCCCGGGGGCGCCCTCCCCCCCTGCAGCCTGGCCGCGGGCCGGCCGGTGTCCCCAGCCCTGGTCTCCAGCAGAAGCACGGGTTCCGCTGTCTGATCCCGAGCCCACCGGGCCCACGGCCCCTACCGCTCAGAGCAGCCGTGTGCTCGCCCCGCACCGTGTGCCCTGCTGTCGCCGTCACGGCCCCCAGGGAGCAGCCTCCCTGCCTCCACCCCTGCATCTCTGCTCCCCGAGTGGAGGCTGACACGGGGTGGGGGACGGTATCGGGAGCGCATTTGCACGTCTCTGCGGACCCTCAGCTGCCGGCCCGACCGCTGTGACCCCGTGTCCTGCACCCGACGGCCCAGGGGCGAGAGGCCACCCGCAGGGGTAAAGGGGGAAGACCGCAGTTCCGCCTGCCTCGGCCCTGCCAGTAGCCCCCTGGGTGCCAGCTCTCCCGTCTGTAAAGGCCTGTCCTGCGGGGAGCCCCCTCAGGGTAGAGCTGCCCGTGGCGCTCCAGGGCTGGTGCATCTGCAGGAGGAGCAGGTGTCCCTGGGGAAAGACTCCTCCCTCCCTCTCCTGCTCCTTCTGCGTGTGACAAGGGGACCCTGAGAACTCCAGCTCAGCTAACACGACGCTTCAGAGAGCTTCAATTGGATGTATTCCCCCCAAGATGATCCTGGTGTAACCACCCATCCCTGCATCCCTCCATCCACCCATCCGTCCATCAGACCATCCATCCCTCCATCCCTCCATCCAGCCGCCCACAAGGACCAGCTTCAGATGGACATCTCCATAGATGTCTGTGCGGAGGGAGCTGATGGTCACAGAACCAGATACACCGAGACCCGCACTTCCCAGGAAGAAGATGGAGGCACAGTCTGACTGAGTCCAATCGTGATATGATATGTTTACTCAGAACTGATCAAGCCTGGATGTTGAATTGGATGCAGTTAATTTGGATGCAGAAATTTGGGTGGAGGGATGTAGTGATGATGGACCAACGGAGGACAGGTGGAGGGAGGGATGCAGAGGCAGCTGTGCACAGTGGTGTATGATGTGGCTGGAGCCGTCTCCTCCACGCCCCACTTCAGGACTCCGTCACCAGCTCGCTCTCACTCCTAGCCCTGGCCAGCCTTACAAAGGCGGGGACCTATGTGGCTTGATCCACAACCTCGCTACCACCAAACACATCTTGAGGAAATCACAGCAAGAAGAAAAAGGGGCAGTCCAGGTCAGGCATTCATTTGTCCCAAGGAGGATGTGAAAAATCAGTAGAGACTGAAGGTGGGTCATGGAATCAACAGTTTTCTTATAAAATGGATTAAAGTGAGACAATTAAAATAGAGTAGGGTCCGGGGTGGTGTTTGGGGAATGGAGACACAGTTAGTTCACATAATCCCAAGTTCCTAGCTGTGCCTCAAACCAATCACTTTAGGGCCTCTGAAGACGGGAGCCAGGATTCCGCCATTCCAAAGCCTCTCAGGTAGTGCCAGTGGGGAGCTACTTCGAGAACCATTAGAACCCTCTATCCTCCTTGGGCTCTGAATGTTTCTTTCCCACCCAAGCTCAAGCACGGGGCGGAGGGGGGAGTGAGCAGAGGTCTGGGGCAGTCTCAAGTCTCTGCTCAGAGCCTGATTTCCTCCCTCCTCCCTCCCCAGAGCCATGGACTCCAAGGCCCAGTGAGCCCGGAATGCATGCTCTCTTGGTCTCAAGCCCTCTTCCCTGGACAAGGTCCTAGATGCGCCCAGAGAGTGACACTTGTCTGTTGGACATCCAACCTTTAGTTCCCTTTTCATAACCAGGTGGCTGTTTCCCTCGGGGGCCTTGCCCATGGCCCAGGACTTCAGATGTGGCCTCACTCCTGGTGTCCAGGGGGTGGGTCACACATCCGGGCCTGGGCCACAGTGATAGGAAAAGTGACAGGCATGTGACGCAAGCCAGGAGTTTCAGCCCAAACAGGCTTTATGCTTGAACGGCTGGGAAGTGGTAGGCAATCTTTCTTGAAGCTTTTGAATTATGAATTGGGAGGATGTTAAGGTTTGAGTTGTTGGACAGAAATGCTCTCAGAATAAAGCCAATATAGGGAAGGAGAAGAGAAAATGGGTGCTGTTGATGACACTTAAGCCCCTGAATCAAGCCAGATCTGAAACCTACCCCCAATCTTTCAGGCAAGTGCACAACGGTGTCTCTTTTCACGTAGCTGGTTTGGTGTTGGTTTGCTTTTGTTGCTCGTGGAGAAAAGGATCCTGACATAAGCAGCAGCCTCAGGCCCTTGTGACCTGGCCCCACTGACCCCTGGTCTCTGGCACACCAGGCTCCATCTCCTCGTGAAACTCAAGAAACGCTCAAACATCTTACAGAAGCTCGACACAGAGAGCCGGACGGTCTGGTTCACATCCTGGTCCTCCCACTCATTATCTGTGGAAACGTAGGCGGCCATTATCCACACGAGCTTCAGGGTCCTTGTCCACAGCCTGGGGCTACTGGTGTTACTCTCCTCATTGTCCTCATCCCGGGGCTGCAGTGGAACTTACGATGCGAGGCGTACTTCGAGCAGTGAGCCCGTGTTCGTGCCAGCTGCTGTTATGACAATGACTTCTGGACCTAAGGGGCCTGATCCTCCCACCTTGGGGGCTTCACACCTGTTGTTTCCTCTCTGGAATGTCATCTACGCTGACTGCAGCTGGTTCAGACGTCAGCTCAACAAGCATCCATTCAGTGCTTCCAACAATTCCTATATTTTCCGTCTCAATATCCACTACACTTTGCAATTCTATGTCTTTAGAGTAGTTACTGTGATTCTGTATCCCTCTCTAAACTGTAAACGTGAAGGCAGGGAACGAATCTGTTTCGCTATTAGGATTTATAGCTTCAATTTCAAGGACATAAACTGGTACCTGAGAAAACACATTCTGAATGAATGAGTTGCATGCTCTGATAGCTGGGGGATAGCTTCTTTACGAGGGAAATGTGCCTGATGCCTGACTGTGGTTGACGTCCCAGCGGATCCAGGGCCAAGGGTCACCCTGGTGCACAGGCCGTGAGCAGCGTCCAGGCGCCCAGGGCTGCGGCAGCAGGGCCTCGAGCCACACCTTGAACCCGCAGCAGCCCGGGGACTGGAGACAGTCCATAGTCGTGATCACCTGACCGGGAAAGCTCTCATCCCTGGACCCGCTCAGCACTTGCAGGCAGTGAAAAAGGCCACCAAAGTCCACAGGGACGTGTGGGCTGTCACACACTCCCAGGGATGCTGTAAATGGGCTCTGACAAGCACATAATTAATTTCAGAGAAGAGAACAGTGTCTTTTTTCCTTCTAAACAGTCTTGGACATTATGAGCTTTTAATTATACTAAGATCACATGGGAGGCTTCAGAGAATGGAGACTTGCTGGGAGGGCCAAGTGCTGACATCACTCAGTGATGTTCCTGGCCGTGCGTTTGGTTCTTGAAAAGTGGAACGGACTTTGATGTCTTCTCAAAGCCTTGCTGCATTTTGAATTCACACAGAACTTTCTTTCTCAGCTCCCTCTGCTCTGCCAGCAGCACAGGACCCAGGACATCCTGGGAGCAGAGGAAGAGTGAGCTTGGGCAGAACTATCCCAAGGGGATGGCCCCGCCCCGAAGCCCCTAAGCCCCTCCCAGGGTGGGCAGGTGGGGGGTGGTGTGGGGGTCCTTGGTCTGCATGCAGAGGGTGATGAGTCCTGCCCGGTCGTGGCCAAGTGGAGAAGTCGTGGACGAATGCAGAAGGGGCCTTCCCTTCCCAAGGAACCAAGTCCGAGGCCACACACCCACGGGCGACCATCTCTCCAGGGATGGGTCGCGGTTCTCTGGGTCCAAGTTGAGGACCTGGGCTCCTTCGGGGCCGAGGGTCAGAAAACCTGGAAAAAGACTTGGGAGATTCTATGCTTTTCACCCAGAACTCAGAGTCCCCTGTGCACAGTGTGAAGGAAAGGGGGGCCTGGGAACCTGACTCAGAGCGGCCCCAGGGGCAAACATCTATGAAGCAGCCTCCTCGCCCCGACCTGGGTGAATGCGTGTTCCGCTTGGGGATGTGGCCCATGTCACCACCTCCCAGGGACAGGTTCCTCCATGGCCCAGCCAGGACAGTTATCCCCTGCATCACTGGGATGACCCGCGGCAGGGGACCACCCCCGGGGCTCTGGAAGGTGCAGAACAGAACCAGTCCCCGGATGGAGAGTCCCAGTGCAGCCTGGCCCACGGTGTCACCAGCGCCCACCTCCTGAGGCCCGGGCTGGTCCCTGAGCTGTTGGGGCTGGACGCCGGGACCTGGGATGCCCTCACCTGACGCCTCTATCCCGATCCCCGGGGATGTCCGGGGCCTCCCAGGATCTGGGGACTCTCTACCCGGCAGCCGGCTGGTTCCCACCTCCCAGGGGAGCCCCACTTCTGATAACAGGAGGGGTGCTGGGCAGGCCTGGGCAGCAGGACGTGGCAGGGAAGGATTTATGCAGCAAGTCCATCAGGAACTTCCACATAAGCTGCTTTTTATCTGCCAGAGGAAGGCTTCACTGCAAATCTTCCCTGCACCCCTGCAGCTCAGAGAGAAGCGTACACACCAGGACCACCTGCCGCAAACATGCTGACGTTCTTCTCTGTGGACGATCGAAGGGGAGTGATTTACAACTGTGACCTGCCGTACAAATGAGGACTCAGTCCAGCACCCCCATCTCCCTCTCCAGACGGAGCGCTGGAGACCCGCCGAGGGCCCTCATCGCCCCGCAGCCTGGTTACCCACATGCTGGCCAGAGCCTCCGCTCTCGGGCCAGAAGGGACTACTGTGCCTGTATGCGGTCCTTTCCCGCTTTTCATTGGAGTCCAGGGGCCGGCGTGGCCTGTGTGCGGGTCACAGCCGCGCGGTCGGTGTGGCCGATCTAGGGCTGTGCCGTCCCATCCGCTTGCCTGTGAACTCCCCCTGGGGGTGAAGGGCCGTGTGTCACCTGTGCACGTCCTACTGTGTGACGGTGCTGTCACCCGTGTCCCGTGACCCCATGCTCCCTCCCTGCTTCCTGGGCGTGTACCTCGTGCGCGTGTAGCCAGCTCTGCCTGGGCTCCGCTGGGGCGCTCACACCGTCGCCGTCCGCCTGTCAGGTGCCCTCACTGGGGTGGGGGTGGGATGCTCGCATTGCTGTGACGGCCGTGTCCCCATTCTCTGGGTCACCTGTGCCACCGCGGCACCTGCACATGGCCCGCTGTGGTGTCGCTCACTTGTGTTGCACACCCGAGTTCTCTGCACCATCACACCCGTGTCGGAGGCCCTGAGCGCCCACACGTCCACCTGCTCCCGGGTGTGAGGCCACGGTTCCCGCGTGAGCCCTGCACATCGGCGTTCACACGGTGCCGCCTGCACGTCACTCCAGCTGTGGACACGCTCAGTCCTGCGTGTCCCATCTCCTCGGTGTCCTCAGAGCCCCAGAGAGACTGAGGAGGCCCCAGAGACAGGGGAGGCCGGGACGCTGTAGAGGCCGGAGAGACCACGGAGACGGGTCACTAGGGAGGCTGTGGAGGCCGGAGGCTGGGGAGACAATGGAGACCCTGGACTAGGGATGCTGGAGACTGGAGGGGGGGGGCACGGAGGTTGGGGAGATCAAGAGACCAGGGAGGCCAGGGGGGCCTCAGAGACCGGGGAGACCACGGGCAGCGCCGCTCAGTCCCCACAGCCAGGGCGCTGCTCGCGTCCCCGACAGACGAGAACAAGCCGGACAGTGGAGGCTCAGGAGCTGTGCTTTTAGGAGCCTGACCCAGACGCGGCTCCCGATGCCCCCACCGCAGGAGGGAGGGTCCTCGTGCTGGAAGTGACAGAAGCCACCACAAGGCGGCTCCTGCCCTGCACGCTCAGGCGCGGCTGGACCCAGGCTCCAGTGATGTAATCAGAAATTCTCTCTCAAATCTTGGTCTTTGTCGGGTCTGGGTTCTGGAACCCAGGGATCCAGGGGGTCCTGACTCACCTCTGGGCCCCGCACGGTGACAAGATGGTGGCAGTGGGCATCCTCACCTCCTCCCGGAACGCAGGCCTTCCCCTCAGCACATGACAAGCCCAAGGCTCACTGTGATTGGATGGGGTCGGGGCACGTGACTGGGCCTGAACCAATCCCTTTCCTGTTGCTCCTGGGAACAATGCTGACGCTCACTCTGATTGGTCTGGGCCGGGACATGTGACTGCCCCTGACCCAATCACGGCAGGGAAGGCGGGCCTTCCTTGACCAGACCTGCGTCCCCATTCCCCTGCCAGCAAGGGTGCCCTGGATCGCAGGTCTGACGTCGGGGGCGGCATTTCCAGAGACACATGGGTGGATCTAGAAGGAGAGGCGGATGCCAGGAGGCCACCTGCTGGTGACCTCCGCAGGACTTGGGTCAACGTCCCAGACCCCGGCCACCTCCACCTGGGGACCTGGACCTGAGGGGAGGAACGGACACCGCTGGGGACCGTCCTGCCCTCCTCACTTGTGGGCCTGGACTCGTGACTTTGAGACCTGCTCCCCTAGCCCAGCCCGGACGTGTGGGGCTAAGCCTCCCAGACAGTCCTGGCCGGAGCCTGGAGCCGCGCCTATGCTGCCCCGGGTCACGTCCGGCCCCTGGTCGTCCTCAGAGCCCTTGCCTCGCTCCCCAAGCCCAGCCTCTGCCCTCAGAGCCCCCACCCCCCTCCCCAAGCCCAGCCTGCGGCCAGCACCCCTCCCAGCCTGCCTCCTGACGTGCTCCCCCCGGGTCTGCTCTGCTCTAGTCTGAAGGCCCAGCCTCAGTGCATCACCCTGAGATCCGTGAGGATCCGGGCCTGTGCACAGAGTGAGGTGTACTGCTCTCTGGAAGGTTGAGACACGCGAATGGATTTGGATTTGTTACCTGATGCCTGGACGTGGAAGCTGATTCATCCTCCACAGCCATTGCTCCCTGTCAGGGAGCCACAGACGGACCACGGGGGTGCTGGTGTGGACCCCCACAATGGTGTTTGGACCCCCACAATGGTGTTCGTACCCCCCCAGCCCCCCGTGAAGCTCCAAGTGCTGCCTAATGAAACGGGAAGCTGTAGAAGCAGAGTGAGAGACTCTGGCAGAAACTTCCGAAAGGAAAGCCTAAGACAGGGTTACAACAGCCCCCCAGACCTGTGTCCAGATGAAGGGAGCGCAGCTCCTGGTGACAGGTGTGTCCTGGCTGCCCTGCGGCGACCCCTCGGCGCTGCTCCACTGCTCCGAGGAACCTGGTCAACAGGAAGGAGCAGGAACCAGAAAATGCAAAGGCTGAGCCCCCAGGGCACGCAGACCCCCGCCCACCCGCAGGGAGGTCTGACGCTTGGCCATCCCTGTGTTCCTCTGCACCTTCACGCCTCCCCTCACCTGAGCCCGCAGGGAGCCCCTCCACGCCCCCAGTCTGCCTGATCAGCGCTGCTCCGTGCCGGGTGCCCGGTGTTAGCTCCGCCGTAGACCTCACTTCTTTCCCACTCCCTGGAGTAGGTTTTACTGCCTGAAATAACGGGACGCCGAGTGGAGGCGGCATGGGTCACATCTAGCCGGGACATTTGATTTGCAGGGTCAGTTCCTCAGACCCCTCTTCCTGTTTGGCTCGGTGACTGTGGCAGCTCTCGGGTTTGGCAGCGATTGTGCCAAGCAGAGCCTCTAAGATGGGAGGGTGTCCCGGATCACCCTTCTGGGGCCTAGAATGGGGGCAGACATGGGGACCTTTCCCGGCTGGCCAGAGACCAGACGGGAGGGGGAGGACGGATCTGAGTGTCACAGGGGCCCCGGGCCAGGTGCTCACATGGCCCGTCACGGTGGAAAGGCCCTTGGCGGACTGCCCGAAGGACACGGCATCAGTCCTACAACCGCCGGAGGCCCACCAACACCCCGCACGAGTGAGGAGGCGGGTCCTGCCCCACGGCCTCAGAGAACGTGCAGCCAGAAGGCCCCTGATTGTAGCCCACGTCACACCTGTCACCTGCACAACTGGGACGGGATAAATGTTGTGTCGTCTGAGCCACTGACTCTGCGGTAACTCGTTAGATCAGCAGTAGGAGATAAAGAGATGGTTCTGTTTCTGGAAGGGAGCAGAAGCAGACCTCCAGCTGGCACAGACCTGAGGGGCCCCACCTGATGCCGGGGGTGTGTGTGGGTGCCAGGGCGGACGGGACTTGGGGACGGGACGCAGAGGAGGATGTGGGGAGCAGGGCAGGTCCCCCGTCTATGGAAGGGTGGGACCGGCTGACAACAGAGATGCCCACCAGGAACCAGGCTCCCCCGCTGACGACACACTTTCTGATGCCCATGCTGCCTTCTGCTTAGCAAACAGGGCAGAGGATTCACAGACAGACGACCCCCGAGAAATGGCGAGAAAGAACGGGGATTTGGAAAATGTGTGATGGGCTCATTACTTTATTCTCTAAAAGGTTGTCCTTTTTGTGAAAATGGTAACGTCCTAACTGTGAAAATGATAATGTCTGAGGATTTATTTTGTTAAGAAAGCCAGTCTGTATGTTCTGTGCTTTTCACACATTTTGTAACGGTTCTCAGGGACGGCTCGTTTCTCCTCTATTGGCAGGTCTGATCCACACGCCGGTATTAACTCCGGGCCTGGGAGCTTCCCCAGCTTCCTGGACATCACTGGCTGCACCTGCTCCGATAGTGACCCCAGAACATCCTCTGTGGTCTGGGGCTGGTGACAGCCTCCTCTCAAGTCCCATGGCGAATTCTTCAGACGATGCAGAGCCTGTGTCCTAGGGATGGGCGGATGTGGTGGGGACGGATGGCCCTCAGCCTGGCCCTGCCCCAGGGGTTCACGGCAACCCAGGATGCAGGTGTCTCTCCATCCTCTCTCCTTGCTGCCCGCGCATCCCACAGGAGGCATGGAGAGGGCTCCATACCCACTGGTCACGTCCTGCAAGAGCCCCCCTCCCCCCGCCCTTCCTGGAGACAAACCAGCAGAGCATCACTGACCCCAGAGGACGCTGCACTGTCTTCAGAGGCCGAGGCGCTGCCTCCAGTAGCCCGGCTGCCTCCAGGCTTCCTCCAAGAGGCTCAGCTGTGGGGCCAGGCTTTGCCCGCCTCTCTGCACGGCTGGGCTCAGGGCACGAGCCTGGGGACACAAGCTGCAGGTGAAATGCAGGATGGCTTTTCCCTCACCTCCTGCCGGCCTCTCCCTGGATTCATCCAGAACACGGTCCACATTCTCGGTGTCTAACCCGACACAGACAGACAGAGCCTGACCCTGAGACCTCCTTCGGCGTCCATCATCATCATCATCAGTGCTGCCTGGGGTGTCAGGCCCTTTAACGATGGCACTCGGGTGTCAGCATTGCACCCTCACGTGCTGGGGTCAAGAAGTGTGACCGGCCCTGAGAGAAAGGCATTTCATCCACACCCGCTGAAGGAGCCGCACACCCAGGGGCCCCCACACCGCAGATCGGTGAGCAGACTAGGTCGGTGTATCTCCAGTCACCGGCTGGGAGGAGCCCTCGTCTGTCTGGAAGACCCCCCGGGGCATCCGTGTTGGGCTCTGCTGGGGTCCTGGCGTCTGCGTGAGCGAGGAGTGTCCTGTCCGGATCCCGTGCTGGAAGAGGGAGGGCGTGGTGACACGGTGTGCAGCGTGGTCAGCGCTCAGGGCCTCGTGTGGCTTCCCGCAGCGGTGGGGGGGGAGTGGCCACCCCAGCACGTGCGGGAGCCTCTCTGAGGGAGCGGCACGGAGCTAGGCCTGGATGGGGCTGTGGGAAGAAAGTTCCAGAAACGCAGGTGCGGTAGGCCTGCTGCGCTAGGGCTATGGCGGGGAAGGGACCGTGCATTGTCGGTGCAGAGAGTGGCCCGCAGGTTCTGCCCCCGAGCTCGGGCTCGAGAAGCCCGCGTGGACGTGGCCCAGCCGCCTGTCTCCCGCTCTCCACACAGGGACTCTTCCCGGATCACGAGTCCCGCCCAGGGTGGAAACCACGCCGCCTTCCCGGCCTCCCTTGCAGCCACCCGCCCTCACGTGACCTGCGCCGCCAATCAGAAGCCTCCCGTGAGCCTCTGCTCAGTAAGAGCTCCTGGGCGGAAGATGGCGTCGGGGCCTGTGAGGCGGCGTAGCCTGAGGGGACCCGGTGGCAGCGTGGGGTCGGTCGAGGGGACTTCCACGCCGCCGAGCCCGAGTCTCTGCCCCCGAGGGGCCCGGAGCGTCCTGACGTTCCCAGCAGCCGCCCAGGGCCGGCCTCCCCCGGAGCGAGTTGAAACGCGCAGGCGCAGACCCGCCCGGCCCCCCTGCGTCCCAGGCCGCGTGTCGCCTTGACCCCGGGGAGCACCTTCCCTGCACTGTGCCCGACCCCGCCGTCCGCGCTGCTGTGGGTACAGGTAAGACCCTGATGACGTGGGAGCCGCGGGCGGGACCCCCCGCCCACCGCCCCCCCGAGAGCGGGACCCGGTGTGTCCTCTGTGTCCCCCCTGCCGCTGGACCCCGAGGGCGGCGGGGAGGCCGGGCGCCCAGGTCACACCCGGCCTGTGCGGGCACACCGGGCACACGCCAACGAGTGTGGACGCAGGAGCGTCCCCGTGGACACGCGCGCAGCCACACTCACAGGTGACTGGCTCCACCCGGAGCCGCTCGTCGTGCCCCGGGAACTGCAGAAATGGACCGAGCCTGCGGGACTTCGGCCCCTCGTCTCCCTCCTCCGACCTTCCCGCGGACGCCGAGCGCCCGCAGGTCCGCGGGGGCCGGTGCGGGAGGAGGCGGCGCAGCCCCGGCCGGCGGGATGTCCCAGCTGCTGCCTCTGGGAGGGTCGCTGGGCTCCGCTGCGCAGGCCGCACGTCGGTGAGGATCAGACCCTCATAGGTTATTATCCGGGACGGGCAGTTGCGGGGGACATGGGCGCCTTTGCCCTGCAAGGGGCAGAGCGGGCTGGGACCCCGGAGGTGACGCGGCGTGTGCATTTGTGCATCAGCGGGGGCCTGGGCACAGAGAGGGGTGGACGCCACCTGTTCCCGATCAGCTGTGAGCGCCGTCTGCAGCCGGGCCAGGTCTCTCCCGGTAATCCATTTCTGGGGAAGAAAATCACATTTGAGAGAGAGTCATTATGTAGTGTATTGCACTTGAAATTATAATTCTATGAAATCTCATTATGTCTAGACTAAAAGGAATTGAATTTTGATTATTTAACTACATTTCCTGGTGCTCTTAGGAGGATGGCTGTTTTTCTGAAAGCTGTCTGCCTCATCCATTAAGAGTGATGTTTTCTGAGCAGCACCCTTGGGGGCTTCTAGAACTCTCTTGAGGCTCAGCTTTGGCCTGGGGTGTCTTTCTGGGCCCCTTTGGCCTCAGACCCCTTCCTTTCCCCTGCGTTTCCCAGGCCGCGGGCGGGGCCGCTGTCTGCCTGGATTAGTCAGGGGAGGCAGTGGTGCAGGGTCAGGGCGGGGAACCTGGAGTATCCCCTCTGCCTGCACCTGTTCCTGCATCGGCTGCGTGTCCGCCAGGGCGGCGCCCCCTATGGCCCCAAGCACTGGGACCCCCCCTCTCCTGGTCTCTATCCCCGGCGCTTGGTGGCAGGTTGCTGGGCTGGCTGAGCTTTCCCTTCTCGGTTTTTCAACGTTGACCCCTGCATTGACCCTCCCTGGGCTGGAGCACCTGCAGTGATTCCTGTTACCTGACGGACCCTGGTGTACATGCTCCTCAGCAGGACTCAGGCCTCGACACCCGCCTCCTCCACCTCCACCCCTATAGACACTCCTCACCCACAGGAGGCCTCGGGACCTTTGCTCATGCTGCCTGTTTTCAGGAGGCCTCCCTGCAAACCTCGCCCATCTTTTAAGTCCCAGCCCAGGTGCCGCCTTCACAAGTCACCAATCTTGAGCCTCCCAGGTGTGGTGATGAGATGTGCTGGGTCCTCCCAGAGCCCTCTTTGGCCCCCCTGGGTGCTCAGCAGGAGGATGTGGTGGGATTGTCACGCATGTTCACTTTCGTTCTTGTTTTCATCATTTCCCCCAGGTTTTCATTGGTGGTGACCTGTGTTCACAGCTGCGCTGAAGCAGGACAGTCAGGCCTTCCTCAGCTGAGTGCGGAAATCACAACCCAGACTGGCTCTAGACAGAAATCGTGTTGACTGACAGTTTTGTTAGCTTCAGGCACAGCTTGATCTGGAAGATCAGCTCCCAGCATCAGAACGCTGTGTCTTTACCCCTCTTGGGTCGGCTTTCCCCCATGTGGGTGCTGGGGGTGCCACAGTGGAACGAGAACTTACTTCCAGTTACAGGTGACAGAAAGCCTGACTAGAATCGGCTCAAACACAGAAATGTTTGTCGATGCAGATAACTGGTCTGTCCGTGGGCGATTAGCTTCAGGCACGGATGGATCTGGGAGACCCATCAGGACCTCTGGGAATTCTCTCTGCTGGGTGCTCAGCTTGCCTCTGTGTTCGCTGTGTTCTCAGACAGACGCCCTTCACTGTGGTGTCGAGAACCTTCGGAGGTCGTGAGGCGTGTACCGTGGCTCTCGGGAACCCCGGCGCAGGTGCCTGGCTTGTCCGCCGGGTCCACGAGAGTTTCAGAATCCGGGTTCCTGGTCTCCCTGTGGTCTGGCGCGAGTCACGTGTCCATCCTTGAAGCCAGGCTTGTTACCAGGCACGCGCAGCATTGCGCACCGTGTGCCTGAGACACAGGCCCAAAGAGCCCGGGCCCAGAGTTGAGACAACAGGAAAGAGGCCGTGTGTGTGTCTGTGGTGGTTTTGAGTCCAGCCCGTTGGAGGCTTGTGCTGTTGTAACGCAGAGAGATCTGGCGCCGGTTACCCAGCTTCCCCAGCGGTGGCATCTGGGGAAAGCGTAGCATGACGCCACCTCCTGGGAACTGACAGCGAGGCCTGGTCAGGTGGAAGGAAAGGGGGGGGTCGTCCTGGACCAGGCGTCCGGGACACTGGTCTCAGCTGTGTGTTCCCCGCGTGCCGCATGCGTCTGTGGGGGCCTGTGTGGGAGGGCACAGCGCGCGTCAGCAGGCCTCCCTGACGGTGCAGGTGACGGGCCGTGCGAGGCACGGATCGTCTGGGGACGTCGTCAGAACCGCGGTAGTTAAGCTTTAGCTTTATGAGGACGCGGTGCCCACACTCGCCTGTGCGACCGACCACTGCCGTTCCCCCAGGATGGCGGACTGGGAAGGGGTCCGGGCGTCAGCTGGAAGTTACCGTCTAACGAGGAGGCACGGAGGCAGCCTGCCGTCGTCCGCAGGAGACCGTTCCTTAGCTGGGGTGACGTTGGTTCTGTGAGTGGCAGAGAGTGTGCCGTCTTCTGTCACTCCCTCCCTCGATCACTGCACAATGTTGTCCAGCGCGGCTCGCCGTCCGGCGCTACTGACCCACAGAACGCGGTCCGCTGAGCGTGTGGGCCCAGCATCCGCGTCCTGCTCCTCCCACGGAGCCGGGTCCACACGGGGCCCCAGGAAGGACGTGTTGAGTGGTGGCCGCCCACCGGCTGCCCACGTCACCCCTGGCTGCCTGGTCTCAGAGCCGGTCACTTCCGTGGTGGAGTCCCTCCAGCCCTTGCCTCCTGGTCCAGCCTGAAGTCCCTGCAAGGTCCCCGCGTGTCCCAGGGGCTGGTGACTCCGGCTCATCCTGCTTCGCGGTGGGAACCAGTCTGGCTCCCGTCAGCTCCCCTCGTGTGGTGAGCCGGCGTGTGGTGCGACCCGCCTGGAGATCGTCGCCGGGGAGCTGGCCTCACGGGGACACAGGAGGGAAACAGAGGTCATCACCGGTTTTCAGATTTCGTCGGTCTCTACGATCCTGGGTGAAACCGGGCCCTGGCTGCTGGGATGTCCCCTGAGGCCAGAAAGGCCAGGCCTGCAGGGTAGCATTTGCTCAGCTGCGGACCCACCTGGAGTCCCATCAGGCGGGAGGCTCGTCCCTCAGGAACCGTCTCCTCCTGCCGTGGGACGCGGTCCTGAAGGAGGCCTGTGTCCCCAGGGGGAGGTCCCTCTGACCCCGTGCGGTCCCGTTTCCGTCCGCCCTCCCCCGCGGGGCCCTCCTTCCTGGAGGTCAGTGCAGTCAGTATATTCGCACCTGGGCGGTATCTGTCCTTGGGTCCTGCTCCGGGGGACGTGCCTGTGTCCGGGGCGGGCAGGGGTGGGGCGGAACGGGACGTCCTGGGGAAGCGCTTGCTGAGAAGGAGGCCTGTGCCAGAGGGGCCTTCATGCGGCAGGTGGAGGTGGCTGAACTGCCCTGTGGGCTCGGGTCTGTGTACTTAGGATTAACAACCGTAAACCACACCTGCCACATCCCATACACGCTGGTTTGAGTGGATTTGCTGCTGGTTTCGGTGCTAGAAATTGCTGGGCCTCGGGAGACGCCTGAGAAGCAGAATTTCACAGGCGACTGGAGTGCGCTCTGCTGCCAGCGTGGGCGTCTGTAGTTTTACGAAGGCGAGTTTCCTTTTCAGGGCCCAGGGGTGGAGGACGGCGGTGGCTCCCGGGATGGAAGGGGCGGCTCATGTGGGAGGAGGCTGCGTTCCGCCACAGACATGGCTCCGTGACGACCGTTCGTGCCGAGGCCACCTGCCCCCTCACAGGTGTGACCCTGGGGTCGAACTGTCCCACGCTCTGCCAGCCCCAGGATGGACCTGCTCCTTCCCGCTCTGACTTGGTGGTGACAGAGCTCTGCCCGCCTCCTTTCCTGCCAGTGCCTGGGCAGGCTCCTTCTCACCCTCATCTTGGTTGTCTATACCTCTTTCAGGGTATTGATCTTGTATCCTTCCTCTTGTGTCCAAGACGAAAGTCAGTGTTTATTGCCTGGATTAGAATAGACACTCCGACCCATCATGAGCAGTAGTCTCGGATAACGTGCCTGGCATGGCCTCTGACCAACCCGTCCTGAGCTCCCAGTGTCTTCCTGCCCCTGGCCAGCATATCCGGCAGGTGTGGGAATGTCCTGGTCA